TCCATAGGCGTAATGTTTTTTCTACTGTACAGGACCGTATTTTCTATTGCCCTACACCAACCCTACCCCTCACAGGAAACTTTCTGCATTTTTAGATTTTCAAAAAACTTCATTCTGTATGATTTATAAGCTTTTGTACCCGTGGGGACCACAATTTAGGTCCCCACCGTGACACGAGTCCCCATGAGTCTGTGTGTAGTCTGGTTTAAGTCCCCACCAGGATATATAAACCAGTACACACACACAGAGACAGACAGACACACACACACACAGACAGACAAAGAGACACACAGAGACAGAGACACACACAAAATATCTTTAATAGACGTAAAAACATAAATGACCATGTTCAGTTTTGATCAGGACAATAAGGATGATATTGTAAGCGATGAACAGTGCTGTTTCTCTGTCAGTGCGTCTGGGGTTAGAAAGAGTAATAATGGTAAATGGCGACTAAATAAAACAATAAAATTATCTTTATTATTATTATTATTATTATACATAAAAATAAAGAATTCGCCTTCTTATTGAAGCTTTAGAGGTTTCAAGGTTGAGTCTCGAACAGCTGCTCATGGGGAACGCATTGGTGCTGCAGGTGGCTGATGTTGCCCTCTACTGGCGCGCTCCGCAGTCACGTGATCGCTGGCACTCCTTTACCTGGCGCTGCGTGACGTCACCGCGCAGGAAACGGAACTGGCGATCGAGGTGAGTCCACAAGTCTCCGCTAAATACAGGAATGTCACTAAACCTACTTTAAACTGGTTTGCCCTTATTGAGCCGGATCCGGTGATTTATAAGCGTTGAGTATGTCTGCGTCAGCCGTGTTCGTGCTGGATCTGAAGGGGAAGGTAATTATGACTCTTAATGAGCGGCTTTATAGAAGATATTAGTAGATTAATTTCACCTGATTTAATTAAGTGTGAAACACCTGCAAGCCGCTGTTTGTAATAATCTGTGTTTAATCATTTCTACAGCTGTCTGCTTTAATCGACTGTAACAACAGCAGTCTTTAATGGAGAAATAGTGTTCTATTATTAAATGTCATATGGTAGTATTTCATTTCTCTTTAAGATGTTTTCTACTGGAACTGCTTTACAAACAGTGAATGAGCAGATGTCATTTCCTCTCCAGAGAGGAAGGAGTATTATTACAGATGACTCCATTAAAAGAGTCTCTGAGAGATGAATGGCGAGATCGAACATAATGAAATGCCGCATGTTTCCTAACTTGTCCTCCCATCAGGTGCTGATATGCCGCAACTACAAAGGCGATGTTGACATGTCAGAGATCGACCACTTCTTCACCCTGCTAATGCAACAGGAAGAGGAGGGGCTTGTCTGCCCAGTGATGTCACACGGCAACGTCCACTTCCTGTGGATCAAACACAGCAATCTCTACTGTATCCTTTACATCACGAACTTCACGATCTGATTGTAAAAACCAGTGCAAATGAGATCGTGTGGAATCCTGTCGAGTAATGATCTTCAAGAGAGCCGTTTAGTGGTGTCTCAGTCAGTAAACGTGTGTTTGTTTCTCTTAACCTGCCGATAACATCAGTGGTGGCCACCACCAACAAGAACTCCAATGCGTCTCTGGTCTACGCCTTCCTGTACAAGCTGGTGGAGGTGAGTCCGAGACGACTCGTGGTCCTTCATTAACTACCGGGTTAATTCTTCAATGTTAACTGAAGGCGCTGAATGTCATGCTGAGAAACAAGCGTGCTTCTCCTGTGCCGTGTGTTCAGGTGTTCACGGAGTACTTCAAGGAGCTGGAGGAAGAGAGCATCCAGGATAACTTCGTGGTGGTGTACGAGCTGCTGGACGAGCTCATGGACTTCGGTTTCCCGCAGACGACAGACAGCAAGATCCTTCAGGAGTAAGAGCCGTCGGCTTCACGCGATCATCATGTTGAAGCTCGTCTCCTCACGTGTGTTTCTCTCTCAGGTACATCACGCAGAAGGGGAACAAGCTGGAGGTGGCCAAGACCAAAGTGCCCACCACCGTCACCAACGCCGTGTCCTGGAGATCCGAGGGCATCAAATACAAGAAGAACGAGGTCTTCATCGACGTGATCGAGTCCATTAACGTGCTGGTGCGTGACCGCTTCTTCCAGCAGCGGTTTGTGTCTCGTGTAGTGTGTGTGCTGACGGGGCGTGTGTGTGTGTGTGTTTGCAGGTGAACGCTAACGGCAGCGTGATGAGCAGCGATATCGTGGGCAGCATCAAACTCAAGACGATGCTCTCAGGAATGCCGGAGCTCCGGTTGGGCCTCAACGACCGCATGCTGTTCGCCCTCACCGGCCGTAAGAACCAGACGATATTACACTGTTTGAGTGATGAACTGATGAAGAGTGTTGTGCAGGATGAGGGTCGGGCCTGCTAATGTGTGTGTGCTTGTGTGTGTGTGTGTGTGCGTGTGAGTGAGAGTGTGTGTGTGTGTGTGTGTGTGTGTGTGAGTGAGAGTGTGTGTGTGAGTGAGAGTGTGTGTGTGCGTGTGTGCTTGCGCGCGCGTGTGTGTGTGTGTGCGAGAGTGTGTGTGTGTGTGTGTGCGCGA